TTTGTGACAACCAACGTGTACTATTACTCAGTTAAGTATCTCACAATAGTTTTAATAGAATTTGCCTTGAGGTAATAAACACTAATTGTCATGTTGTATTTACCTTGTCGGTTTAATACTATGAATGCTTGACATTGTACCAGTTCACAGTGGTTATATGTAAGAGATAAAGTATGTAAACTTGTATTAAGTACTGATAATCGATTGAAGTGGAATTAAATATAACCTGCAGTTACATGATAATATTGTGAGCAGTATTGCGGATTAGAAAATTAGTAAATTGCAACATAATATTAATATATATATACATATAATATTAATAGCCTTAGTGGTCTAGATGTTTAGCACACCGCTTTACTTCCAACGTGGGTTCGATTCCTCGCACCGTACAACACTTGAGTATGATTGTTTATATCGGTCTGGGTGTTTTCTATGTATATTATTTATGTATTTACAAAAAATAAAGTATCTCAGTATTTATGTATCGATTCCTCCCACGGAACAAAAATTTGTATTCATGAGTGATTGTTTGTATTGGTCTGCGTGTTTTCTATGTATATTACAAAACATATATTGCATTTACGTGCATATATAATAAATAAAATATTTTAATTAGGACAGAATGACAGGGCCTAGGTGTGTCACAGACAGGTCTTCTAATATAATATACCCCATCATATCTGCTTCTGTAGTATTTAGTGCTGTTCATATGAATATAGGCCAGAAATATTAGTATCTAAGCGACAGTTACCATTACCATCAGATGGACCGTCAAATTGTTTGCCATTCACATATAGGCGGATTGTAACAGCAGTAACAGTAGTCTAAATGCTCTAAAATTCCTACCACATTCTAGTGTTATGTTATCGTTCGATAACAATAGACTCTAATGTTTAACAAATAACAATTGATTACGGCTGCAATTGTTAATAATTTGCTTGGATGTTTCCAAAACATCCGGTCGTAATGTCCAAACATGGCTTGGTTCTATACATATTGAGAACCAAATATGCCATTTAGAAGTCAAATATTGATATTATAGATGATAGTGAACGATAAACCCGTTTATTTGATAATAAAATAAGACTAGCAGATCGATGGTGATTTCAATAAGGAAAAGAAAAGTGAAGAGATTTTAATAAAATCACTTGGCGCTATATATGTTTAGGAATAGCTATGATATGGAAGATAATAATAATAACTAATATAGAAGAAATAAAAGTTAAACTTACTTTTAAAGCAGAGATTGCATATGAATTAAATAGATAATAAACTTAATCTAAAAATATTTTAAACGCGAAAGTTTGTGAGTATGGATGTTTGTTACTTTTTCACGCAAAAAATTCTGAACGGATTTTGATGAAACTTTACAGTAATATAGCTTACGCATCAGAATAATATATAGGATATATTTTTATTGAAATTTAACGCGGGTGAAACCGCGGGCACAGTTAGTTAATAATAAGAGAGAGTGGAGAGATAGGGAGGATCCAAATAGATGAGTTATCTGTAATAGATGATATGATTGAGAATTAACCCTCTTAAGGTATCTAATATGGATCAGTGGAAGAGATCCAAACTCCTTTAAGATGACGCTAAACAATGGGTCAAAATATACTAAAGCGATGCAATGACCACGTAAATATTCGTAGATCATTACAGTTCCACCTTTTACAGATTCAGATAGGATGGATAATTAACAATATACAAAATTTTTAAAGTCAAAGACATACCTATCAAAATTTTCTTGTTTTATTTACAAACTGTAGTGTCTCTATAAGTAAATAGGTACGGGTTATCATCTTAGTATGGTAGTATCGTAGTACCTGACTATATGCAGAATTGAACACGTGATATTAGTTACCATTTTATGAGTTACTGCATAAACCACTTTCCAGGGTACGCAGCTGGAAAATGACCTCTGTTTAGAAAGAGATGTATATATACAGACAGGGATAAGAAATGTACGCGTATGACGTCACTTGCTCAGGCGCACTCCCGGAGCGGCAACGGCGGACCAAGTGTTTTGTAAATAGAATCTTCGAAGATATTGTTAAAGTGCGAGAGATTGAAGATATGCATGAGAAAAAGAGAAAGCCTATAACGTGGTTGAAAACAATACGTATTGAACTCTATTGGGATTTTTTTACGTATGGTAATGGAATGCGCTTACGGTTTAAGCTGGTAGAGTACCAGTGGAGGACGATATGGTGAAGACGATGTCAGTTAAGTCAAGCCATCGTGGCGAATTCACCAGTAACAGCATGAAGGTTTCCAGGAGGAACCGCGTGGAGGTCAACCTGATAGGGTACGCTGCCAGGAAAGCTCTCATTACTAACCACACACCTCTTAATTGGGAAAATAATAGCTATTATTGAAATTAACACATAACTAAAACAATATTTTTTATTACAATACATGCATGATTTAATCGAATTAGGTGTTATTTTGCGGAAGTCCATTTCACTGCTTAATAGATTTATATTATTTTGTTTAATTCCGCAATAATTAGCACGTGTGAGACCAGAAATATGACATGCTTGAGTCTATACTTTGTGCTATTATACTAATATATTTTTATCTAACCTAAATAACACTAGATTGCTTATTATACCTATATTAACAATCCAATCGAGTTAATGTATCATTTTAATACGATTACTATCAGGGTAATAAAATACTAATAAATGAAATAAGCCCTCATTGACTGTTTGTAATACGTAGATACCTATATATTGTTTAATGCCGATGCAAGATATAATACTGTATTGCACTTAGCTATTGATTTTTTTATATCGTGCCGGGGCAGTCCACGTCCCTAAAAATATTCAATTTATTTTTTCTAAAGAACTTTATAAAGAAATACAATCGCTATTTTCGCATTGTATTCATCATAGTTAAAATTTCATCTGACTGAACTAAGAGGAGCTAGGTATTTTTAGTCACGGGGACATTGTCAGCAAATCCTGATCAACTTCCACGCTGTCCTCCTGAACACTGCCGTGGTTAATTCCTGGTATTCACCAGTTGTTACCAGGAATTAACCACAGAAAGACTTAAGAATTAATCTGAGTTCATGCTCATCCTGTCATCCTCCACTAGTGACCCGTCAAGTTTTGTATAACATTACAGTACATATTCGTTCCAGTAACAGTCTGTATTTTCTGCTAAGTCTACGTACTGGATATGTCATATTGTGTTTATTAATCCATAATTGGGGTCCACATATTAGTGGTGTGGGTGTTACTTTCACATTTTTTTTTAACTCCAATGCCACAATAAAAAGCAATCAGTGCGACAGATTAAATGAAATGAAAACATAAATTGTTAAACGTGTCTGGTAGTTAGACGAAATAATTTCCATATAATTTTGTTATTTCCAATGTTTATGACAGCGAGTTGCCTAAATTGCTCAACTTTCATTAATATGTGAGCTATATAAAGTACGAAATTTTAATAAATAAATAAGTTGAAGGCGGTACGGGGTGGCATCGAAATCCACCCGGGGTTGTTGACCCATCGACCGCCCCTCCCTACGGCGTGCACCCCAGACCCCGTAGCCCCCTACGACGTAGTAAATATCGAACCTTTGCGGATACAATGTATCTTAAAATTAGGAACATAATGGTAATGCAATAATCCATATGAATATTGCAAATGTGAAAGACTTTACTTTTTCTTTCGCGTTTCAATTCAGTTTTAGTATAGAGATAGATAGGGTTAATTGCAAAGGAAATAGTAGTTATAACAGTAGTTGTCGCGATAATAAAACTTTAAGGGGGTAAATAAGGGATACACCTATTTAAAGTTTTATAATGTCAAAAATGTGAGATAATTGTTTATCACAATTACGGTCCACCCTATCGAAGATAATCTCACTGAGACACGGCTGAGGTGATCACATAATGAGACGACAAGGGAGTCATATTTCCAAAAGTCTTGAACCTTAACACCGTCCCAAAGAGACACGGAAGATCCAGAATAGATGTGCCTAACTAAGAATGACTAGTTTATCATAATTATTACATTTTTATATATATCGGGACAGTAAGCGAAAGTCGTATTATGAAGCGAGTTCATTAATAAGTTAAGTAACATCAATACTTATATTCTTCGACTCATTTCATACCGTCGGCGAAATCAGAAGTAGGTCCTTATACCTTAGCAACAGAAAAAGTAGTATAAGATCTACTTTTGGTAGCCTTATTTTGATGAAGTCTCATATTTTTATGTATATATAACATATCAACATTTTTGGCAATGGCATCATTAATAATGGAATATATGGCAGACAAGCTCACGCTCCATGTAACGACAAGTCGTAACAATTGCCTTCATAGTTGAACAGCACTACGGACATCAAGTCATCACGTGATCATGCCTCTGTACCCTGTAATGTCATTGCCTAAAGAGACTGGTGACACAAAGGTACTTACCACTTTGTACAAAGTCAACCTAGGCAAATTGACACTTTCTCTCTTAATAAATATACCACGTTAATATAGCAATAAATATTAAATTACTCTGAACTAATATAATTAAATGACGACGGTATTTTAATAGTTTAAAAAGTTTTGAAACATTAATATAACTAAATAGTTATTCTATTGTATTAAAATAATATGCAACGTGCACAGAATAAGTTTAATATTAAGTTGTAATTAAATAATTTTAACATAACATTTTTAATCAATTTCTGTAATACAAAATGGAATAATAGCAGTGCAAACAGACGTGAACTGAACAATGCTAATTAAAGTTGCAAATATTAATGAAACAAGTAGAAGTAAAGGTTATTTCATTAACTATCAAGCGTAGAGATTATATAAGGATATGGTTAAGAACTATTATAATAATTAAAAAAAAATCACAGACAACATACAACTATAAGTGAAACAATGAAGAAAAGCATCATGTTTAGGGTTGTTATGTGCAAAAGAAAGGTAATTGACAAGACAGACAAGCAAATGATTAGATATGTTATATATTTTTATATTTACCTTGATGTCTTGTAAGACCTGTAAACAATTAAATGAGAATTAGTGAATTTTGTATATGTTCACTAACATTAAATAATTTAAAATTTAAATAACACTTCTATTCATAATAAACATAGGTATATGAACATAACGGGGAACAAACGGATCATCAAATAATCGCAGTTGGTGCCAATATACACAAAAAATATAGTTTAATCGAGAACTCCTTCTTTTTGAAGTCGGTTATATAGATGAATAGCTATTACTAAATATATAAATACATACACCTATCGTTCAGTAACAAATGCATTAGTAATAGCTATAAACCATATATAAATATCGATACAATACTTAAAAAGATACTAAAAAAAATTTTGTAATACCGTTAAATAAATTTAAAACCTCTATTAATTCATATCATTGAAGAAAGCCTTACAAACTCACGTTTTTCTTTCAGTGGATGAACTCAAAAAATACTTCAATAATAAAAAAAAAGATACCTATAGACAGCTAAATTATCATCGAGTAAACTAAGATATATAGCAGGCGGTTAGAGTAGGGCGGGGTAAAACTAGTAATTGGTAAACCCAAAAATATATTCCAGCGATATAAAACTCCTTACACCATCTGTAGTAAACTATATTTAGGGCGAAGTAAGGTAAATTTATAGGCACTATAATAAACAAGTTTATGGAACAACACAATTGTAACTTTATCAATTTCCTATAACATTTAACGCTAAAGAGAAATATATATGTATTAATATTGATAAGTGCTGACTGCGGAGCTCAGCATTAGCGTGTTATCGGCCGGATACGCCAGTTGCTGACTCGGACAGATAAAAACATACCGGGATAAACACCACCCGAGGTACTTTCCACTTGCTGTAGGTCAGGACTCAGGATTTCCTGTTAGATGTAGAACTATTGATGATACTGTATTATTTCCCTATCATTGAATACGTACGTAATATAAAACACGTTCACTCGGGTGTTAGGACGTAGGATATTTAGAAACAATGAAAAATCGCAGTTCATCATAATAAAAGACTTTGCTTTATTTAAAAATTCTGGTTTATGGTTGGAAAATTGTTTGACATTAATTTATGGTATTGATGTTTATTTTTAAATTCATTCGAACTTTTATTTTGTCTTACATTTTGATATTAAAGTTTCAAGAATATCTTTACAATAAAATAAATATTAAATTAGTCATTATCGGCGTACCTATATGATTTGTTATTTACTAAAAAATTCACAGATAAAGCAAAGAACGATTCATCCCAAAGGCGTTATTTAAAATTGGAACATATACTAACAACTGACTGATACTGCGTGTTCACTAAAGGCAATTATTAATTGTACGGTATATATGAAACTGACTGTACAAATATGTACATTATTTTACGTGAGTCATAACTGCATGCATGTTTATACCCGGTGAATCATACAGATGAATTATGATTATAATCAGCAATGTACATTACCTACGGTCATTTTTAAGATGGAAATCTATCTTCTTAAGGAGTAAAACACACTGATTACACCATTGGATTCTAATATACCACATCATCTGCTTCTTCCTTATCCCATTCGTTTCGGGTCGGCGTAATATGTTTTTTTCTTCCATTCATCTTTGTAGTCATTTAGTTATTTACGCTCTTTCATACCACATAATCTTTCACAGAGTCCATCCATCTCTATTTCGGCCTTCCTCTGCCTTTATAATCATCCACATTCATATAGAACACTTTGTTGGATTCAAATATATACTCCTATAGAAGAGTGCAGGTTTCTGGCAAAGGTATTTTTATGGTTAAAAGAACGCTTCAACGACTATATATAACTAACAAAAAATTGTATTAACTAAATAAAGTATTTGGAATTTTTGAACAAGCAAGCGGCTGAAATAGGTATGAGAGACCACCTATTTCAGCCGGAAAAGCAGCTTGCTTATAAGCTGTTCAGTTAATGTGATAAGGGAGTGAAACTGCAGTGTAGAGAGGTATGACTTCTGTTTCAGCTTGCGCTAGTCAGAAGTAAGGACTACACATAAATTGTATAAATTGAAATTGTATTATAAGTATAAAAGTTCAATGAAATGTAAGAACAGGTCAGGAATGGGTTTATAAAGAAACTATTGAAAAATTCTCTTGGTTGTGAGCCAAGGGGAAAGTTGTCAAATATGTATTTTATATAAACAGAAATAATATTTATTCAAATAAACTTAATATAAGCACTTTTGAATAGTTAGTATTTATTTGATTCTACCGCTCATTGGAATCGCAGACTCATCACAGAAGAACGAGCAAGAAATTTGCGTATTGCTCTTTGAAATGGCATGTTGTTCTAAGTAAATACATAATTAAGAGAATTTGTTAATATTAATCTTACTATATACTATTATAAACATGAAAGTTTGTGGTATGAATGGATGTGATGGATGGATGTTTGTTACTCTTCCACGCAAAAAGTACTGAACGGATTTTGATGAAACTTTACAGTAATATAGCTTATACATGAGAATAACACATAAGCTATAAATTTAATGTGGGTGAAATCGTGGGTACAGCTAGTAAACTATATATCAACTAGCAAACCCGGCCACGCGTTGATGTGTCTAAGGTTATTGAATATTGTGACTATAAATTGAGATTTAAGCTATTCTATCTTTCAAGTTGGATCAAATTGCACACAATGTGCAAATCAAATTTATAATCGGTTCAGTAGTTTAGGAGTCCATCGCGGACAAACAACGTGATACATAATTTTTATATATAAAGATATCAATACGTTGTCATTATATACCCCGAAATGACAACGTATTGCTCATCACAGGTATGTACCTATATATATATATATATATATATATATATATATATGTATATACGCGACGGTTAGTACTTACTATCGGGCGGGCCGTTAGCTTGTTTGCTCTTCTAGTTATATAATTAAAAAGACGTGAAGGTACTACAGATAGATTTTCAAATATTAAAGTAAGCGAACAAATTTTTCAATTTATACTATGAAAAGCTGACCCAGCATCGGATAGGAAGTTAACAAATCTCGGGGGCGTCGACCGCAGCCCGGGGAGTGACCCGGGTCTAATCTACAGTGGAAAGTCGAATCGGACGGATATAACCGGTTAGGGGTAGGTCAGGGTTGTTTGAGGGCTGTTTACGTTGAAATATGACTCTCGTCAACTTGCTGCCTCGTAATGTTCGCAAGATTTATAGGTATAAATAGCAGTGTATTGTTACGGATTTTTCTTTCTAGCTTGTATCACTCATTTTTATATACCTTTGGAAATGATGTATGATTTTAGCACATGTAAAGCTATAAATACATAAAAAATATTTATAATGCTAAATTAAAATAATTCATAATTGATTACCAAATTTAAAGAGTTCATGGATATTTTATAAAATTTATAGTGTTTTTTTAGAACAGCCGGAATTCGGTGCGGGCGTCTAGTTATAATATAGAAATAGATAATATTAATACTAGGGTAAAACATTCTTCGTCAGTTGCATTTTGAATAACATTATTATTTTTTTTATTTTTTAAATCTATTAATTTTTAAATCATTACTTTTCATTTTGTAGGATTTCTTATCTTGTATTTGCAGAACCCAAGTCTTCTACCGCTTAAATAAAATAAAAACAGTGAAAAAAGTGTTAGAGCACATTTAAAACGTTTCTATTTCCGGGCGGCGACATTTCAGACAAATTGGGGTCGATTTGTCTTTCCGACCGTTTCATGCATAGTTACACGCACAGCCGTCACCCGGGTACACCCGGGCAAAGTTCAAGGGCCGTCTGCGGCGTGTCTACGCGTATTCCCAACCGGCTATAACAGGGTATATTTCACCCGGACTTGGCAACCGGATTTAGAGAGCACGTACGCTGTAAGTAAGCCCTGCAAGTTAGCACGTCTGTTTAACGATGTTTTTATTGTTGTTGTGTTAGAAGGTACATATACTCGTATTTACAATTGAATACATATATGCGAATAAATGCGTATTTAGTATCATAGTCAAAAAGTTCACTTATTGAGTGAAAAAATGTTAATATTGAAGTAGCATGTTAAGCCGTTGTCACATCAAATTTTCACCGCATATTTAATTCCTGTGTACATAATGGCACAGGAAATAAATAAAATAATAATATGTTATTGATAAAAAAAACCATAAATAATGGAGGGAAAATTCTCCATTTTTCTTTTAAATATTTAAAATCATAGAAAACAATTTCATTTTATAGCAAGCGATTTACCTGCATTATCATCTTGTGTTGTTTGTTTGATTTTGAATATTACCCATTTCCTTATTAGTTACATAACCTAGATAGTTGGCATAAATAACATTCATTGTTCAATGATTAATATGTCAATTAATAAAATGTTGTGTACGTGGGAGTCAATGTAGCTATTTGTTATTGATCTTTTTATTTTAACAGTTTTATGTAATCATGCTTTTAATTTCATTTTAAAATGTTCTTCGCTGAACGAGCTTCTCTCTGGCTTTCATTTATATGTGAAACTTTATAGTTCACACATAAATGAAAACCATAAACAAGAGGAAGGAATTGACACAGCGGTTATAAAGTTAACGTAAATTTAAAATGGAAGTTAAAAAATGCTTTGGACATATTCTAGACATTTTTGACTGGGTATCTAAATATGAAAACGTAATAATAAATATAGTTTATAGACATATGTCACTTGTATACATAAACTTGATGTTATGTGTAGTACATAAATAACCTCAAATTAACTATAAGTATTTGAAGAAATATTTTATTTCCTTTCGAATTACAAACCACATATATTTTGCCGGAATCAAAGTTTAATTAGTTATTATTCTTACTTAACAATCGTTTCAATCAGCATTATAGATTATGGAACATTCGGGATGGACCATAGTATTCCTATAGATTAAGATATTGTGGCTTTGGAAAGAACTGACAAATGTACACGAATCAGAGACGAATAGGGGTGACGTGTTGTAGAAAACCAGCCTTACTAGTTTTGACGTAACAA